TAACCTTAGACATATGACCTAATGATTCATATTCGATCATAAATTTGACATAAGGTTCCCTTAGAGCGCTATTACGTTGTAGTTTACGCTCTAAATTATAGAAACGTTTGAGAGCTTGCTCGCGGGAATCTCCAAGTTTTGTTAGTGAACTTTTCAAAGGAATGTTAACAATGAAACGGCCATTTAAGTCACGTTTATGAGTTGAAACGAAAATTTGTTCACAATCCCTTTCTTCTGCTGAATATGATCTATCCTCGGAACAATCCTCAATTTCCCAAAAACGGGATAGTTGATTTTGAATATCAGTATATCGCCCCCCGCCTTGAAATGACATTTCAATGTTTTTTGAAAGGTTGCAATACATATGAGATTTCTTTTCCATAGTTTTATTTGCTATAGAGTTATTGTATAGGGACCCTGAAATTATCCAACCGAATTTGGTTTTATGAAGGATAGGTAAATTGGGACCCAACTGTATTTGGCCAATGGAAAGTATAGACCAAAATAACTCGGCTTCTATAAGAAGATTGATGGGCTTTGGAGAATAAAATTCTGGATCTGCTAATTGTATATTTGAAGGGATGGATACTAAAGATGTATTTAGCTTCTGATTGGGCAAATAATCACATATGAATGGCATAATGAGACATGAAAGTGACGTTGAAAATGCGTTATGTTTGGAAAATATTTGAATTTGACATTGAGTCTTGATTTTAGATTCTACCTTTGTGATACCAGAAACCGTAATGTTGATATCTTGTGTTTTAATTCCCAAAGCAGTAGAAAAATTTGCACATATGAAATTAGATTGACTTCCTGAATCGAGAAGTGCACGACAATCATGGCGATTTCCTTTGTTGTCCATAACTTCGCAAACAATTGTGGATAATAAGACTTGCTTTGAATTTGAATTAACACTGCATAATGTTACATTATCTGTATTTTGAGTAGGACTATGCAACAAAGTATTGTGTTTAGCGGAACAAGTTTTACAACCACCGAAATTGCATTGATCAAGTTGATGACCTGAATTCAGACAGTTTATGCATAGTTTTGAAATTTTCACTAATTCTGTTCGCTCGGGTATGCTCATTTTTAAAAATTTGTTACAATTAAATAACCTATGATTATTTGAATGGCATGCCTGACAAACGCGAACTGAAGAATGGAAAGCCTTTTGAGACTTGTTTTTAGATACTGATGTTGAAAAGGAAGAATGTTTGGAAGAATGACTCTGATTTGTTTCCAACTGTTTATCTTCAATTTTTTTTAACATTTGGGATTTTTGTTTCAAAAAAAAACAATAAATCTTCTAAGGTTGGTTTATCAGAAAATGATTTGTTCTCCCATTCTCTCGTTGTAGTTGGGTCTAACTTTGTAGTAATGTAATAAATTAATAATGTATCCCAATATTCAGTTGGCTCACCAAGAACCTTTAGTGAACGTAAGTGCATTTTAACATGATCAACAATATGTTTAAGTGCTTTAGAAGATTCTTTCTTGATTGAATCAATGTTATATAAAGCTTTGGCATGTTCATGTAATAATGCCCTTTTATCAGTGTATTGATCACATAATAAATCCCAAGCTATAACAAAATTATCATTTGTAAGTTGAATATTTGCGATAGTCTCAAAAGCTTCACCACTTAGTGCAGATTTTAAATAGTGAAATCTTTGAATATTTGAAATGTTTGAATTATCAATAATTAATGCCTTGAAGCTATCTTGAAATTGAAGCCAATCGCATGGTTCCCCTGAAAATGTGGAAAGATTTATCAATGGCAATTTGATACCTGAGAAATCGTTTTGAACATTATTATTGATGGTTGGTTGACTATGGTTTGAAACTGAATTATTTTCAAAACTAGACTCAGTATTCAAGATCATAAATTTTTGTGCATGTGAAAGAGTTGCATAAAAACTATTTTCGAATTCTTCCCTAGCTGAAAATTCTGTTTGAATGTTAACTGTATCAACCAAAGCATCAATTTGATTTTGTATTTCTGTAAATTCATTTATTAAATTTTCAACTCGATTGTAACGACGACGAAACTCTGTAAAATCTGTTTCTTGAACATTCGATTGACATTTTGAGAGAAAATTTTGAAAAATCGTTAATCGAGTTTTAATGCTACCACGATTAGCATGCAACTTTTTTAGATCCATCTCAGAATAGCCTGAAAATGGACGTATCTAGATACTGAATACAATTAAAGAATATAAAAATGAAGAATAAGAAAATGCAATTAATTGTGTATGAGACCTTGAAAACCTAATACAAATTAAATCAATATTCTTTGTATAATGACTAAGAGGACTGTGAAGTTTACCAAAAGACCGGCTGCAAATGTCCTGTACTTAATGGATGGTCAGAAATTTGATAGCTTTATGTAGAACGCTGTAATGTGATGAATGCTGCTTGCATACGTAGTTCAGCTGAAGATTGCTTGAACGTGGGCTCTGGCGATTTCTGACTGATGAAGATCCAAAATTCCTGATTCACTGACTTATGGTGAACCTGAATTCTTGGAGTTGAATTATGAATACTTTGTAATTAAATGGGACTGTAATCCGCGCTTGGAAGGACCAAATGGATGTGTTTGTGACTGTATTGTTTTTTTTTGTACTTTTCTTTTAACGTGAAAATGAATCAAAATGTAAATTGAATTTCTGTATATTTTTAAATATATGACACTACATTTCTTAACTGACAAAAAATTACCTATATCTATGGTAACATGAAATTGAAAGGGCAGAGTAGGCTCCAACAATAGTACATATCTTTAGCTTTTCTAATAAGTGTTCGATATAAAGATCTGTAGATCTGAAGGAATCTCTTCAGATTTATTACCGGCCAAATCAAAAAAGAGATATGAATAAATTTATATCAAATTTTTGGACTGGAGAGAAAAAAATAAAGTGAATTCATTTTCGGAAACTGTACTACTAGCATACTTTGGAGAAATTTTAAACCGTCGACGTTATGGTCCATTTATTCGATGCTAAGAACTACAATCTCTGTTAAAAATGATGTCGATATTAGTAAATATCCAAAGTTACGTTCGCTTTTGAAAAGAAAATCTGATGGTTTTAAAAGCCAAAAATCCAAAATTTTTTCGCCTGAAGACATAAAGACTTTCCTAAAGAATGCACCTGACTATACATATTTAATAACAAAGGTAACGGAATTATTATTTTTATTTTAACAAATACTTAATACATAATTACTAATATTTGTAGGTAGCATTAGTTTTTGGATTATCTGGCGCTTGTCGTTGCCACGAACTAAACGATTTAACAATAAGCGATGTAAAGGATACTGGAAGTATTCTGTTAGTTAAAATCCGTAATACAAAAACAAAAGTTCCGCGTTCTTTTTATATTTCTGGACCCTTTTATGATATTTCTAAAAAATATATGAGCCTACGTCCCGCAAACATGGATCAAATTAATTCAAGATTCTTTATTAACTATCAGAATGGAAAGTGTAGCAGACAGGTTGTTGGAATTAATAAAATCAATAAATTTCCTAACGAAATTGCTCAGTTTTTAACGCTTCCGAATCCTCAAGATTACACTGGGCACTGTTTCCGCAGAACATCCGCAACGCTATTAGTGGATGCAGGAGGTGACTTGCTTCTGTTAAAAAAGCACGGTGGTTGGAAATCTAGTAGTGTTGCGGAAGGATATGTTGATGAATCCACGAACAGTAAAAACCAAATACAAACCAAAATTTTACAATCTGTACAAAATAAGGAAACTACTAGTTCATCCGATTATGGCGCATCATCATCTGAAATGACATTTAACAGTAGAACAAATATGTCGGCATCTACCTCAATAAATAAAAAGCTTGTGTGTGATACCCCATAATTTTGAACAATTGTTCAAATATAACAATAAATCAATATTTAAATAATAAATAATATTTCTGAAATATTTAATTGTTGGTTAATTGTTTGTTATTCCTAACACAAAATAAAGCATTTGCTAACATTTGTTTTTTTTTACATTTTAGTAGGTACCTACATGACATAATAGAGTTCGTAGAAAAAGTACCTATAGTGTTTTACTCGTCGAAAATCATTTTTTCGTCACTCGTGAAACAATATACTATTTTTATCTCAGTTTTTATTTATAGAAAAAAATATATTAAAGAGCAGTTCGAATGTACCTTGAAAATTTATAATTCTTTCGGAGTCCTCATTTTTAATCCGATTTTTGTGAAATTTTTAGGAAATACCAATAATAATAGGAAAAGTTTTTGTTAACCTTCAAGAAGTATTTATTTAAAAAAAAAATTTAAAATAATTTTAAAAAAATGTGTTTTTTGGTATAATAAATAGCCAGTAGTTTCTAAGTAGGACGATTTCCCACCTTTTTTTCTTAAACGTCTCTAGAGTGCTGCCTTATCGTTACTCAAATTTAAAGCTCTCTGTATTCTCTAGAAACATAATTTTGCGAATTATTCCCATGGGCGAGCTATAAATACAATTTTATATTGGAAAATCCTTAAATAATTTTTGCTTTCGTGAGATGTCCGGTTTTCTCTTAAGCTATAATTGTAAATTTTGAAATACACGCCTTTTGATTTCCATGCAATTTTCATCATTTTTTAAATTTTTTATCCTTTCTTCAATAAATGCAAATTATTGACAACAGTCAAAATTGGATCCTCATGAGAAATATTAATGGAGATAACACTAATATATGCAAAAACCAAGTTTGAGAAAATATTAGCCGGTTCATAATTAATGAAAGATTTCTTTAAGTATTACGCCACTATTTTTTTTTAATGTACGCGAAGTACAAGTTAGTATACAATTGGTTGCTCCCAAACTGCGTAATGCCCAATACCTAAAAGACCTTTAAAAAAAAATAAACCAAATTTAATTAGGTACATTAGACAAAAAAATTATATTACGAAATTGAAATATTTATTTCATTAAGATACAATATGTAAATATATAATTAAAAAGTAATAAAATACAATATAATATGCTTAAACGAGATAGGCCTTAGCTAGCGCCAATACGGGAGATCCTGTGCCTGGGGATGGGAAGGTTCCACCTGAGGCAGCAATATCGATATGCGTATATCTCAAAGGTTCGGCGGTTTCTGATCCGTGCTTGTCCAGGCCGCTGGCCATTATCAGGAAAGCCGCGGGTCCTGAAAATTAAAAGTCAATTGCTTATATGTAATATTACAGATCAGGTGAAAGATAATTAAAAATGTAAACGAAAAATATCAAAAAAATAAGTTTATATTTTTCATATATACGAGTATTTTTAGTGTTTCTATAAGGTTTTTTCATTATTTTTCTTAATAAATTAGATTTTGACAGTTTTTAATATCTTCCAAATGAAGGGAATAAATTGCAGATTTGATTGGGTAATCGTATACTTTAACAAAAAAAAGTCATATTTTAACTTTTTTATCTCCTCTAGTTTTTAGTATATCCTGCAAACATTCTAATTTGAATCAAACTTTGATTAAGCATCATCGTAATATACACAAAAACTGAAAAAGAATTACAGTTCGACTTTATGAAGAATTAAAAACGTTTTCTGTAATATATGCAGATTAAATCGAAACCTAAATTGCTCCTGATTATACTCTGAATATGCACCAAAACAAAGAATGTTGAAAATTAAAAACGTGTTAAGATATTTGAAAAATGTTTGTCATGAAAACTCAATGAGTTGTTTATTCAAATGAAATATCAAAAACGTTTTAAATAGTTTTCTAGGGTAATTGTAAATAATTGTACCTTGGTGACCCCTTGAAACCTGTACGGAAGGTTTAGAAAGGCTTTGTATTACATCATCTCCTTCCATTATGCCTTTGTAGCTGCTGAAATCCTCCCTCCGAATAGTAGATACTTCAAATGGATCACCAATTTTGTCACCAGCGCATTGGAGTCTTTCGTTAGTCTTGTTCTTTTTGGCTGGACCATTATCCATTACTGAAACAACAAACAATGATCAAATAATAATATATAGTTCATTTCACCAATTTTGACGTGAAATTGTTATAATATTCGACACACTTTCAGATTTTTATCTTTCTCATATACAAACGCATTCTACTTCTACTAAACGTATGTTATTACAACAGAAAACATACGATCATTCGGTCATGATCGTGTTAGACTGAAATTTCTATTCAAACCGTAAAATTTCAATTTTAACTCGAAAAAATTTTATATTTTTTATTATAAGGTTTCAATAATAATTAAGTATGGTACTATTAACGCGCATACTCGAATAACAGGTACGTCAAGGTTTATGGACAATATTATTATACTCTTCACATAGTAGTCTATTTTTTATCCGCACGATAAGTCAAAAACGAAAAAGATATCTCGAAATGTTTAAAACAAATCAAGCTCTATAAAGGAAAAAGGCGCTTTGATTTAAAAAAAATATATAATTAAAAATGGTGGGTTTAAGGGGATTTAAGGACGTTTTAAGTGGAGTTCAAGGGGGATTAAGGGGGATTAAAGGGGTAGTTTAAGAGGCTTTGAGGTTTGAGGGAGTTGAAGTAAAAAAAAATCATAAATTAAAAATGAAAATCGATATCAACATGTAATTTTTAGTAAAATCAACCTCTCTAAGATTCTGACAAAAAAATCTAAATAAAAATGGAGGTATAAGAAGGGTGGAGATATAAAAAAAGTCCTAAATAGGAAAAAAAAAAGCTAAAAAATTTAAATCTTCAGGAAAACTCAAAATTTATGAGGGAAGCCTATTGAGTCGGAAAGAAAACTGAAAATGGGGGTTAAAAGAGCTCTGGTAAACTGTGAAGAGAATAATATAGAATGTCAGGCATTAAAGATCTTCATTCTAGTTATAAATTGTGATAAATGCAGTATTATAAGTGGGGTCTTAATCCTTGTATTTCCAACAACAAAGACCAGTTTATTACAGTCAAAAGTAAGCTTTTAAAAAATAGCAATTTGTCTAGATGTTACAACTTTGATCTTCAGCAGGCTTGCCTACACCCTACTTGGAAACCTCGCTATCATTTTATAAAAGAAAATACTGGACATACAATCTTACTATACACAATTGTGCATTTGGTTATGCCTTATTTGTGACACGAAACAATAGCTATGAGAGGAGCAAATGAAATAGCTTCATGTTTTTACAAAGAATTAATCATATTGCCACCGGAAGTGAAGAAAATAACACTGTACTCCGACACCTGTGGATGACAGAACAAAAATTTTCATGTTGCTGCTATTTTTCTAGCTCTTATAGCCAAAAAACCTTCACAATAGGTTTGAAGTCAAATCAAATTGATTTAAGTGAAGCTATTTTGTTTGTGTGTACAAATAATCAGATCAATTACAGATTTGACAGTATAGTGATTACCAAAATAGGCGAAAGAGCCATTATTCTTAAATACCAGGTTATTAAAAGTCCAAACTATTCATTAGAATCTTTTTTTTTAGATCATTTTGATTATCTACTTCCCAAGTATTGTGAAGAGCGTTAAAATCTCCTCTGATAATAAAAGGCTTCCTTATAGATTTTATAGTTATTTTATAGGTGTAATGTTATTTTGGCTCCTGGAAGAATATAAATTGAAAAAAATGTTATAATTTACATAGTTATATACTCTGTTTGACCTGTTGTCTCAGCATTGGTTTTTTTCAACCAGATATTGAACTAGAAGGTGATCTGTTATATGAAGATCTAGAGCGAAACTCTGAAAATCAAATGAATTTGTCTTTTGGACTTTTTTAACAAATATTTTATCCAAACAACTTCACTATTCTAATACTAACAACAAGTATAAATACCTCCGTTCACTATAAAGAGACAATAAGTAAGTATTATTTTTATTTCCTTATTTATGCTCTGTGTATTACTATCATCATCATAGCTCGATCATCCAGGTATTAATAATAATTATAAATCCGCATCAAGATATGACATAATCGATACATCTGAAACATCAAAAGAAGAGATAGGTGTACTAGCGTATCTTTCTTTTATGCGGTTGGTTAGTTGTGTTAAAGCTTTGTGCCATTTTTTTTGACCGACTAACGGTGACCGCTCGCTCTCCTTAGGGTCAATCAATTTTTTCACTCATACTATCACGAATATCTGTCGGCAGTTTAGTGCTAAAATAACTGTAAAAAAACGCAACGCGACCAGTGACAGACACAGATTTTTTTCAAAAGAAGGATATACAACAAAAATTATTTCATGATAGATATACATATATCGAGCACCTTTTACATACTTATAAAGGTACTTATACGGCGTAAAACCCTCTGCATTTATTTAGTGAGTGTTTTTTTTTATTAATTACACTATCCAACAGACAACTCCAGTTACAGGGAAGGAAAACTTACAGATTATATACAAATTATGCAGTTCGGGTCGAGATATTGAAATCAAACTTGTTATATAGATGTACTATCCCAAAAATATAAAAATCGCATAAAAAAGTTTCTCCCATCCCACCCTCTAGCTGATACGATTTTTCCTAAAATTTTTTTTGATAAAATTTTTTCAAAAATATTTCGAAGGTGGGGACTGGGGCATTTAAAAATAGTTATAGATGAGATAAAAATCTAATTTTTAGCACACTTACAATGGATCTGATTTATAACGTTTTTAAATAAAAATATAACCACCACCATCCCCTATAGAAAGATGGAGGGGGTGGCATCCCTAAAACATAGGTTAAAACTTTTTTAATAAATCACTTGAAATCTAAGATTTTTTCTACATACATACCCAAAATTTTAAATTTTTTTCGTAACATTTTTTCAAAAATATTTTTGGACTTGAACTGTCATAGTTCTGATATTTAAAAATAGTTAGAGATGAGATAAAATTCTAATTTTATCTAAAAAAAAATAAATTTTGTGTATTTATGCAGAAAAAATTGTAGATTCATTCCTATAGGGCATGGTGGTGGGAAGATTTTTAAACAGAAACATTGCAAATTAGGTCTATTAAAAATGTGCCAAAAATTAGTTTTTTATCTCATCTGTAACTATTTTTAAATGTTATCTTCCACATTCGAACTATGACAGTTCAGGTCCTGCCCTGACCCCAAGAGCCGAACTATAACCCAAAAAATGAACACAAAATGAACAAAAAATGAACAAAAAATAAACAAAAAATGAACAAAACGAACAAAAAATGAAAAAAAAAACGAAGAAAAAATGAATAAAAAATTAACAAAAAATGAACAAAAATGAATAAAAAATTAACAAAAAGGAACAAAAAGGAACAAAAAGGAACAAAAAGGAACAAAAAGGAACAAAAAGGAACAAAATATGATCAAAAAATGATCAAAAAATGATCAAAAAATTATCAAAAAATGATCAAAAAATGATCAAAAGATGATCAAAAATGATCAAAAGATGATCAAAAATGATCAAAAAATTATCAAAAAATGATCAAAAAATAATCAAAAAATGATCAAGAAATGATCAAAAAATGATCAAAAAATTATCAAAAAATGATTAAAAAATGATCAAAAAATGATCAAAAAATGATCAAAAAATGATCAAAAAATGATCAAAAAATGATCAAAAAATGATTAAAAAATGAACAAAAATTGAACAAAAATGAACAAAAAAAATAAAAAAATGAACAAAAAAATGAACAAAAAATGAACAAAAAATGAACAAAAAATCGGTAAAGTATTTTACCCAGAACTTCCCTTGATATAGAAATTATAAAAACAAGACAACGCCTAAGTACTTAAAAATTAAAACACCAAACCAAAAACCTTTTTTCACATTTCTCTTTCCATCGATTTGCCACTTGATCCCACCCGAAATCTCACTTCGCGTCAGCTCGGTATTCTTCGTCAAGTTCACCGTTATGGAACAATAAAATGGTCCAGTTGCGCATACCATAAGGACGCGTATTTTAATGCCATTCAAGGGGGACCTTTTTTGATTAAATACGATTCCTTTCAACGCCAGTTTGAATTTTTAAAAACTTATCTAGGATTTATCATTTTTGGCTTCTAAAATTCTCAGATACCAATTTTAGTCGAAATCTGCCGACATACAGACGAGAGACAGACCGACGCAATGGGAAAACATGTTTTTCGTAATCTAGAGACCCTAAAACCTGAAATAATCTCGGAAGATGATTTTTCACGATTACAATACTTCTCTTTTATAGAAGGAAGTAAAAATGAACAAATTATAGCAACTTTACAAATTAAAAATATTTAAATATATACTATTAAGCAGTTCTTATAGGTTTTATTAAAGCAATGCTGCAGGAACAAAGTTATTGTTGAGAGTTTCTAAGGTTTACTTGTAAGATAATAACCCCTTTCCCAAGCAGGAGTAATCTACTTTTGATACTTAGAAGATTCTCGCAAACGAGTCCATCATCTTCCCGAAATTGCGGTAAACGGTAAACAAATAGTAGACTAATCATTTTATTCATAATTCAATTTGTATTAGAAAAAGCGAGACGTCCACTAAACAGTAAGAAAGAAAATATCAATAGAAGACGTTTATTGGACCAAACGACAAAGAATAGTGACGAAAATCTACTAAAAACTTTAATAAAATTATAAAAGAAAAAATTTCCTTTGATTGTGAAAAACTAAATAATTTGGCCGCACTGAAAATGGATTCACAAAATACAAAACATAACCCAAAATTTTTCATCGAAAAACGTGGTAAATCAAACAAAATATTTGCCGCAAATAATTTTGTTGAATTCGAAGTTCAACACACAAATGTATTGATGTGGACGGGCCTTAATAGGTAAGTCACTTAAAGTATAGCACGAAGTTTCCCATGGTTCCATCCTTGATCCAATTCTATGGCATTTGCTTTAAAATGGGACAATGGAGATAAATCTACCGGAGGCTTGCAGCATCAGCGATCATATCCTTTAAAGGACAAAATTAAAAAACAATTTTTTTTCTACATTTCCTTAGCGTAGTAAAACTTTTTTCAATATGCTT